GGGGGGGGGGTGAAATATAACTTTGTACTTCTCTTAAGTCCTTTCACAGGTGTCTGTGGTGTCGTGATTATGCTCTTCGTTGGTGCTATCTGAAGACATGAGTTCTTTTCCAGAATGTTGAAGTTTACACAGTGCGTTGAACCTTGAGGCAATACCAATATGACATCACGCACAACATAGATAACAAAACAGTATGATGTCAGATACTCTATGACATACAGACCATGGCATTACACACCACCACCTAGATGATGAAAAGACCCTTTTGACGTCATGTGTTGCACATCATAGATTTTTTCCCGAGTAGGCAATAGTAAGCAAAGGGAAAGTGCTAGATAAAAATGACCCAAAAATAAAAACAGACAACTTTGTGTTGTGGAGGGGTTAAAACAAATGATGAAATATTATGTTCATACATTGTCAGATTCACTGCCATCTATGTGTAGTGATTGGTTCTTTGCTGTAGCCCGCAGAAGAAGTTTATTTTTTTCCAGGTGAGGAGTTTTAAAAATTTTTCATAGCCACCTGGTCCTGTCTGCTCGGACGTTAATACTGTAATGTGTTAGTCTTGACAGGAAGGGTTGAAGCAGCCCGCCTTTTAAATGATGCAAATTACATAGATGAGGAAGTAAACCATTACAATTACATATGTTTCGTGGGCCAGCTTTTCATGTGTACTAAAACCAAAATTTTGATTTTTTAATGAAAGTTTCTGTGTCTGTGGTATTGGTTGCATGTGCTTGAAAATATGCATTCTAGATGTTGAAAAAAAAATCAAGAAAAGAAGCATAATTTATGTACAGTTTCAAAATTAAAAAGAATAAAATATTTTTTCTCCCTCCTGAAAAAGACCCCTTTCCTGTTTAGGCTTAGAATTGTTGAAGAGGTTTCTGACAATTTGTGTCGTGTCATTCACAGGAGTACAAGCCCCCCACCACCAAGGACATCCCGATTGACTGGCGGATACATTTACTGCCGGACACCCCGAACCCTCTTGGAGTACGGAGCTCCAAAGGTCAGTGAAGAGTAAAGTGCTTTTTATAAATAATGTCACCTGACTTTCTACTGCTACCCCTGATTCCTACTTACTGCTGTTTTTCAGTCATATCCCTGGTCTGACTGTAGGTAAGATTGAACAATCGTAGCCTTTCTGGATAAGTGTGGGGCGTTCTTGAACTTGGGCTGTTGTGCAAACTTCAAAGTTCTTCGCCTTCTTTGCTCTTGTACAGGGATAAAAAATAAATGGAAAGGGGGGGGGGACTCTCTGTTAGTCTTGCGAGCTATGGAAACGTGGGTAACAGATATATATATATGGTGGGAAAGTCTTGCATACTGTCTTAACAGCTGACCAGCTCCTCCCCTCTTCTTTTGTTGTATGACTTGCACAACGTGGATCCTAGGACTCACAAATGTTCACAACATTGACAAAGCAGAGAGACCCCAAAAAATCACACCTGACTACACCCAGTTAAGCCAACAGCATTGAAAACAACGAAATACGTTGTAAAGAGGTGTAGATGAAACAATGGGCTGGAGTTCTGACTGACTGACCGGTTTACAATCGCACATGCAATTCGAACCAAACTGACAGCATCTTCAACAGAAGGGAACATACAAAGGAGATATTCCAACACCACAAACAGCACATACCTCTAAGGTATAACCTATACCGAATCAAGCTAGAAAAATCCCTAGTGTGCTTGTTCTGTAACCACGTCTACGAAACAGTCCAACCACTGCTCTTTGAATGTCCCAAACTACGGGATCTCTGGCAGCAACTTCTTCCTGCCATTCCTATGTCTGACAACACCTTATACTGTGCAGAAAATAACATCTGTTGAAGACACCCACCTTTTATAACATGGCATTGGACCAAAGGGCATACATCCAAAGGCTACTGGATTAACAATAACTGCAGCAAGAGCAACAACAACAACAACAACGACAACAACAACAACAACAACAACAACAACAAGTACAAAAAAAACCAACAAAAACTAAAAAACAACAACAACAGCAACGAACAACAAAACGCACAAGAACTACGACAACATAACGCTGTCTTTTCTTCCTACTCTCCGTTCTCCTTTATACCTTATTCAGCTTTTTAAAATCCAGTCTTTATTGAATCTGATCCACGTTAATGCCAAACAGCTCGGTGGTCAGTGAGGTAAAAATGAATTACAATATCAAATATTATACATCTGACTGTCATTTTGAGCGCATTTATTTCATAACTGCTTTCTGTTATCTGAAATTGACTCCTTTGTTTCAAATTTCCAGCCCCGGTTTCCTCGGTAGCTTTTTGTTTTTGTTTTTACTTGTTAGCGCAATAACCTGTTGACATGACTAGTGGAACGAAACTATGCAGTCCTTATATTAATTTGGAAATGGAAAGAAAAAACCTGCTCCTCCTTTCCCTCTGAATTATTTCTTGTGTGAAGTCGCAAAATGTTTTCAAAACTTTTCCCAAAGGTTTGGTTTGGAGTTGGTAGACATGCTACGAATCGCGTGTAATTTTAGGGGAATAATTTCAAGCACAATTACAGAGTGTCTCCTTTTCTACCGTCACTTCTCCCTTTTTAAGGGCCGAAGCTTACTTTTATCGATTTTTGACCACTAAAGGATCATTAACGTGGGTAACTTGCACACGGGACCTCCAAGATATTTGACCCTTATCCGAGAAGGCTAGAGTAGGTTTTAGATCAGGGGTGTGGCTGAAAGACAGCAGTAAGAAGGAGCCAAGGAGTAGCAGCAGAAAGGCTGCAGAAAGAGCCAGGACCCTAGAAGAAGGGGGGGGGGGGGAGGAAGTCAAAGGAGGTGAGGGGGTGGGGGCTGAAAGTGTAGGCACAAGAAGAAAACAAAATATTGTTAGAAAGCAGGAAAGGAGGTAAAAGGAGAAAATGTTAGAAAAAAAAAATTCCGTGGCTGTCCGAATTCAAAACCAGAACCTATTGAAAGAGAGGCGAACACCATAACCTCTCGACCACGAGAGTCCCCCTGTCTGTATTAGTGTGATGTTATGCATTATGTGAACTTAAATTGTAACCTAAATTATCGTATTCTTACTTAACATTATAATCTACATTAACGCAATTGTAGTAGGTCTTAACTCACCGGAGTTTTCTACTCGACTGGCCGTGTAAGACAGTCGGATCAGGTGGTGTTTTTCGTGTGAGCACTTCGCAAGTCCGTGCGAAGTCATGATCATGTCAGCTGCTGTGTTGTGAGTTAATTGAATGTTCGGAGAGTCACTACATGGCCCCCCCCCACCAGCGCGGACATGACATGAGGTTCTAGAACCGGGGAGGTGGTCTCACGATGCGCCCTGAACTTGAGACCTTCCAGCCTGCTTGTTGTGATTCTTGTAGAGTAACAGGAGCGGATTGTACAGCTTGGGTAGGCTGGGTTGAATTGTTAGTATTTGCGCTTGGATTCACAAGTGATGAAGACGGAGGTCGCCCACGTTTTGGTGCCTGAGCAACACGTACTAGTTTCGACAGATCCACAAAAGCGGGTTTGAGTTGGTCAACAGAGATGTGTTCCGCGTGACCACTTAGATCGGCAAGAAAGGTTTTGTCATTCCTTTCTAAAACCTTGTACGGACCAGTATACGGGCGCTGTAGGGGTTTTTGTTGAGCGTCGCTGCGGATGAACACGAACTTGGCTGTGTCTAGTGACGAGTGGATGTTGGAGGAAGGTGCACAGTGCAGTGATGTCGCCTTGGCTAGTTGTGACTGCATTTGGGATCGTAAGTTGGCGAGGCTGCGTGACTGGTCTTATGGGGAAGTGTCACTGGTAACAAATTCGCCCGGTACTCTGAGTGGTTCTCCATAAACTAGCTCAACGACAGAAGTTCCCTGGTCCTCTTTTGGGGCAGTCCTCAAACCGAGCAGTACCCATCCCAGTTCATCGAGCCAGTTCGGGCTTTGGAGACTTGCTTTGAGAGCACTCTTAAGGGACCGGTGGAATCGCTCAATCAGTCTATTGGATTGAGGGTGATAGGCTGTTGTATGATGAAGATTGGTACCAAGGCGCTCCGCCATCTCTCTCCACAAGGCAAACGTAAACTGAGGGCGTCTGTCGGATGCGATGTCGATGGGGATGCCAAAAAGGGCGATCCAGTGACTGATTAGGGCACGGCCACATTCTGTTGTTGAGGTGTCCTTGAGTGGGATTGCCTCTGGCCATCGTGACGTTCCGTCGATATTTGTGCAGAGGTGAGTGAAGCCTTGCGATGGGGGTAAAGTACCTACAAGATCGACATGAACGTGACTGAACCTCTTTTCAGGCACTGAAATCTTCTCGATGGGTGCCTTAGTATGCTTTTGCTCTTTGGAAGCTTGGCAGTCCGTACATTCCTTGGCCCACTTGCTGACTTCCTTCCTTAGTCTATGCCAAACAAATCTCGGAAAAATCAGGCGGACTGTAGCTTTACTTCCTGGGTGGGAGAGGCTATGAAACAAATCGAAGACCTGTCGACGAAATGCTGGAGGTACAATTGGTCTAGGATGTCCTGTCGAAATGTCACACAGCAGTTCTGGTCCTCCAGATTCGATAGCCATTGAAACTGCGCGCAATCCTGGGGAAGAGGCGCTGTCGTCTGGAGAAAAGGTGTCCGTGCATTGGGCTTCAGCCATTGCTTTGTAGTCCAGTCCTAATGTGGTCTGGAAAATGGCTCTGGACAAACTGTCTGCAACACGGTTCTCCTTCCCTGAAATGTGCCGTATGTCCGTGGTAAATTCTGAGATGAATGTCAGGTGACGTTGCTGGCGAGATTACCAGGGTGGGGATAACTTGGACATAGCGTCCACCAGAGGTTTTTGATCGGTGAATGCTGCGAAGCACCTACCCTCAAGCAAAAATCGGAAGTGACGCAAGATAGAGTTCTAATAACTCCCGATGATATGTGCTGTACCGTTGTTCTGGCTCTCGAAGTTGTCTGCTGAAAAATGCTAAAGGTTGCCAGTCCTCATCGACATATTGTTCGAAGACAGCGCCAACTGCGTGATCTGACGCGTCGGTGGTTAAGGCGATGGGAACGTTTGTTCTGGGATGCGAGAGGAGAGTGCAGTCGGCAAGCATGCGTTTGCTGGCCTTGAAGGCTGTAGTCATCTGTTCCGTCCACCAAAGTTTTGTTTTCTTCTTTTCTCCCTTCAGAGCTTCGTAGAGAGAGTGTAGTACTGAGGCAGCTCGAGGCAGAAAGCGATGGTAGAAGTTTATCATTCCCAGAAATTCTTGGAGTGCTTTGAAGGTGGTTGGCTGTGGGGATTCTTCTATAGCTTTGGCTTTGGAAGGGAGTGGGTTAGATCCATCTCTTGTGACTCGATGGCCTAGAAAATCGATTTTGGTCACTCCAAACACGCATTTTTTAAACCTAACAACTAGGCCCGCTTCTTCGAGTCTTTTGCAAACTTGGCGTAGATCTTCAGTATGTTGAGCTGCTGATGAGCTGGCAATGAGTATATCATCCAGATTCATGTAGATGAATGCGAACGAAATGTCCTGCAGGGCGGAGTCCATAAGACGCTGGAATGCCTGTGCGGCGTTTCTAAGGCCGAATGGCATGCGTAGAATTTCGTATAGGCCGAATGGTGGGATGACGGCAGTTTTCGGAATGTCCTTCTGCGCAACTGGGATTTGGTGGTAAACTCGAACGAGGTCGATTTTGGAGAAAATACTTTTGCCAGTGAGTCGTGCTGAGAAATCTTGAATGTGGGGATTCGGATAACGGTCTGGGGTCGTTCTATTGTTGAGTCCACGGTAGTCGCCACAAGGTCGCCAGTCTCCATTACATTTCGGAACCATGTGAAGAGGTGAAGACCAGGGACTGCTAGATCGTCTAATAATTCAGCTGAAATTCAGCTTTGGCGATGGCTAGTTTGTCGGGGGGTAGTCGATGTGCTTTGGCATGTACGGGTGGACCAGTGGTGGGGATGAAATGGGAAACACCGTGATTCACTTCGGAGGCCGAAAAGGGTGGCTCGAGGATTTCAGGAAACTCTGTTAATATCTTCCTAAATTTGTTGCTTTCTGGGTCCACTATGGCTAGCTGAGAATCTGAAATCTGACCGATAGTACATGGGTATACTTTGAAAGATTGAGCCTCTATCCGTTTCTGACCACGAATGTCTACCAGTAGGTTGTGGCGGCGAAGAAAGTCAGCACCAAGTAGGGCCCGCTTTAATTCGGCTATGACAAGCCTGGCGTCGAAAGCATTGTTTTGGAAACGAATGGTGGTGTTGAGCGCTCCATATGTCTTGGTTTTGCTACCATTTGCAGCTAAAAGTGGAGAGCCTGAAGTGTTCGCCTGTTTGTCCCGCCATGTTGCAGGAAGAACCAAAACTTGGGCTCCTGTCGAGTGGCAAGGTGTGGGCTTGCTAGCAGCCGTTGTGCAATCTAC